AAGTTGCGGAATTCTCAGATTGCGAATTCTGGAATTCCAAAGTTCTGAAATTCTAAGAATTCTAAAGTTCTGAAATTCTGAGATTCTGAAGATCCGAATTCTCAGATTCTCAGATTCTGAAGTTGCGGAATTCTCAGATTGCGAATTCTGGAATTCCAAAGTTCTGAAATTCTAAGAATTCTAAAGCTCTGAAATTCTGAGATTTTGAAGTTCTGAAATTCTGAGATTTCGAAGTTCTGAAATTCGGAAATTCTCAGATTCTCAGACTCTGAAGTTCCGAAATTCTCAGATTCCGAATTCTGAGATTTTCAAGCTCTGAAATTCAGGAATTCAGAAACTTCGTCAAAAAAAATTGTACCCCCGAATCACAAACGTTGTACCCCTACATGAAATAAGTTGTACCCCAGAATCATTGGTAGATTGTACCCCCGAATCGTCGTACCCCCGAATTTTTGTACCCACGAATTTTGTACCCCCGAATCACCAATTTTGTACCCCTAAATCAGTTGTAAACCCGATTGTACCCCCGAATCATTGTACCCCCCGAATTTTTTGCCAAAATTCATAGTCACTCATTTTCCAAGGTTGGATTTCAAACGCTGTTGCTGAATCTGGCATAAACAAGGTCATTCGCCGAGAAGATTCTAAATTTGATAAGAAAAAAAAACGGCGACGAATTCATTTTTTTCTATTCTATTTTAAACAACTGGACCAATGTGCGGACCTAATATTTATTGATTTTTTTTGATTATTTCTTCAATTTATTTATTTAAAAAAATTCTGAAATTCTAAAAGTAAGTGAATTCCCTAACTCGAAGTTTCCCATAAGTGGTTGCATTTCAGAGTTGTCAGTAAAAGACAAATACAACCGAAAAGAATTCCAAGCATCTCGACATTTCGTAATAGATATGAAAAAAGATTAGACAAACCAGAAAGTTTGAGCTTTTTTTCCATGAAAAAAGGTCCCAAATTTTTCGTATTCACAGAAGAATGGTTTGAAGAAACCAGAACAGTCTTTGATCCCCAAAATAATAATTTTTGTCCATTTGTTTTCAATATTTACTATTTTTGACTTTTGAATGAAAATTGTATCATCTTTTTTTGTTCAGGAAACAATATCTTTGAAAAATAGATTTTTGAAGTTGAGATCCTCCCAAATCCAAAAATTTAATTTGTATTTATTCAATTTGAAGCAAAACCCACCAAACTTTAGTATGACTCATATTCGTCATACTGTCCGCTCTTTAGTGGGTCATTCATTCAAATGAGAGAGTGTAAGAACTGAGGAGAGAGAAAAAGAAACGATTACGAATTCATTCATTCATTATATTCTACTCTGCCAACTGGACCAATGTGCGGACCTGCTTTTTATTGATTTTTTTTACTTTCTATTATTTTATATTCATCTATTAGTACTTTTCAATGGACCAATGTGCGGACCTATACACTTCGATTTTCTAAGACTTCCTATTGAATTTATTCTGGCAGACAACTTTTTGAAAATTGTAAAAAAGTGAGTTTATTGAAAATTTTAAATTCAAAAATTGATCAGATTCTTTCATAGGAAATACCTAATAGGAAAAGAGAATGACTTCATCGACCTATTCCTCAGAGATGTAAAATTGATGAACGTTTTCTTGAAGGTACTGGGAAGTTTACAAAATTTAGAATTCGTTGATTATTTAGAAATACAAGAGATCGCTCAACTTACAAACTCAACATAGGACTGATGACACTGTCAAACAAGTGGGAAATTTTGGGAATCGTCTACATGTGTACATAGTTCGACAAATAAGAATAACAGTATGTATTTTCATTTTTTGCATAACTCGGCTCAAAATGTGAATTTTCGTTTGATTCAAATTGTAAAATGTAGAACTCGACAAGAACTTAAGAAAAATATAAATTTGAATTTCGCATTCTGAACCGGAGGCTGGCGCCGGCTTGATTACTTTGGAGGATTACGGTTAGAAAACTCGGTATTTAAATCTAGTTGAATCATATATAATTTTGTAGATCTCATAGAATTCTACACTTTCCTTTTGATTTGTACATGAGTTTTTATTAAACAAAGTTACTGTTACTTTTTTCAGTTAGTATTTTTCCAGGAATGCTCCAGCATACCGAGGTAAACAACGAACAGGCTCGACATGTTGGAACCGTCACCTGCCAGAAGCAATGGGTTAAAATGTTATGCTAATTACTTTTTTATAAAATAAATAATGATTTGAAATGTATTCATCAGTGTGGCGAATTTTGAAGAAGCAATTCTTTTTTTACAAGGGAAGGTTTTTTAGACAATGGTTGAGAATTCGCTCAAAATTTGCATACTTATAGTTTAAGACATACTCTATACGGTGACGAAAAAAATTTTAGCCCGTTCTCACTTCCAGGCCGATAAACTTTGTCTGAAAATTTGGGCCGATTTCGGTGCGCTAGGGATTTCGGCTTCCCCTTCCCTCCTCTACCAATTCCGCGTGAAAGGAAAATATCGGTTGTGTGGTGTTGTGGTAAGAGCGTGACTCATTAGGATTTGAAATTTCGTAAGAAGCCAAATAGTACATTATATTCGTAAGCATCCCAAGTTATTCATAGAAACCCACCTAACATTGTAACTATTCTTCGTAAGCACCCCATATTGTCTAGTAGAACCCTTTTTCTTCTTCAGGAGATTTGTGTCGGTCCCGTTCGTGAGTACTTATTGAATTGTAATATTAAGCACATTAACCTTTCTATTGTTACAAATCGTTTAATCTATACCTTAAGATATCTTATTATTGTAATCAACAGTCAAGCAGAATCAAGAGAATCAGGAGTAACCAGAGGAAGCCAACACCAAGTCAGCAGTCACCAATCGAGCCAAGCCAGCAGTTACCTTTCGAGTCAAGTCACCAGGAGTCGAGTCATTCATTTTTATTGTATCTCTTCATTTTTTTCAATATGAAATTGAATACATCTTTGAATCAGACGTCACCTAGAATACACTTTTATTCATATATTATTCGCATATTTAGACTCATTTTAAAGCTGAGAACTTTCTTAATGCAAAGATAAAATTTGTTTTTGATTTGAACCAAAATAACAGAACTACACTCCGAATCATTTTCCAGTAGACAACAGCTTATATTGAAATGGGCTGTTGTGACCTCTCGTCTTCAGAATCTTAAATTTATTAAATGTCCGTTTCCCTCCAATTCTAGCCGTGATTATACTCATTTTGAAGCTCAGAACTTGATGAATCCAAAAAACCAGTTATATTTTCAATCTGAAGCGAAACCAACATAACTACATTATGACTCATTTACCAGGTCGAAGTACTCTCATTTCCATCTATTTTTCATCTATTGTGTCGCACTGCAGTGAGTGACGGGTGGACGTTAGATGGAAGAGAGAGAGAGAGAGAGAGAGAGAGAGAGAGAGAGAGAGAGAGAGCGAGCGAGACGCAGACATGCAACAGAAATTCGATAAGAGCGACCCACGGCGGGCGCTCCTTTCATTCTTCATTCTTTACCTTTCTATTGGACCAATGTGTGGACCTCGTATTTATTGATTTTTCTGATATTTTTCTATTATTTTCTATTGGACCAATGTGCGGACCTTAATATTTTGATTTTCCTGATTAATTATTCTCTAATTGATTGATCTTTTTCAATGGAGCTAGGCAAATGAGTGAAAACGTTCGCTACGTTTTGGCGGGTTTTTTTGTTTTTCCTGGCCGCGAATTCCGCTTATTGGTAAATGGATGTATGTAGCGACCGAAAAAAAAAGATCTATGCACAACATTTCAAGCCCCGACAAGAATCGTTGACGATGAAGTACAGGTCTGAATATTTTTATCCTCTGGAGTTACTGGATATCTATATTATTCTCTGCACACCATGGACTGTCAAAATATTTTTTGGAATTTGAGATTCACCTTCAATACAGGAGACTTCCGCAAAAGAATTTTGTAAGTCTATTTTTTTTTGAATCGTTTATGCCCTATAACTCGGCCCAAGTTAAATGTAGAACTTGACAAGAGCTACAAAATGATATATAAATCATCTATACTTGAATTCCGAGTTCTAAACCAGAGGCGGTGAAACAGTAGAGTCGCCGAATTCGGCGCCGTAGCACAGCTGCTTCTACTTTGAAGGAATGCAATTCAAAAACTCGGTGTTAGAACATAGTCGAATTATATATAATTTTATCGATCTTCTCTAATTCTACATTTTAATTTGTATTTCAAAAAAAAATTCCAAGTTTGAGCTGAGTTACCCGCCTGCCAATGGGTCAGCCCCATCGACAAGTTTGTGTCTGGGGGCGCCTACTTTAAGCTTGATTATCTCGATTCCCATGAAAGATACAAAAAAGTTGTCAACGGACAAAATGTTCATTTTTTAATCAATAACAGTTTGTTAGTTTACACATTTTGAATAATTTTTAAGAGGGGCGGGGGGCGAGACAATTAAGTTGGAAGATGGTGCTAGTTAAGTCCGCTGGTAGGCGCGTAACTCGGCTCAAACTAGGAATTTTTGTTTGAACCAAAAATTAAAAAAAATATATATACATATTTTTATAAGAAACAAGATTATTTCCCTTTTTCAGTGGTGAACATTCCGGAAACTTCGATAGTCTGAATGGTTTTGATGGAGACGGGCTTTCAAATGCTGGAACACTTTCAGTTTGGAATCCATGCAAGAGATAATTTTTTTTGATTCGAATAAATAATTTACTTTTGAAAAAATGTTTTAAAGGTGGGGGGACATGAAAAAAATAATGTTCTCGAAATTCCGTTTAAATATGCCCTCGAGGAGTTGAACTTGTCGAGACTAGTATTGACGGTGCGGCGCCGCTACCGACTGAGCCACGCGGGCAAAGAGGCAGCCGGCGCCCGATTGCATTCATAAAGGTGAGGACGACCGCTGTACGCAGAGTGACATTAAGCGTTGTACACCGTCACGGTAGAATGCATACCCTAGCTACAAAAATCCTACGAAAAATCTCCTGTCCCCCCACCTTTAATGATCATTCAAAAAATTAGAAACCAAATTAAAATCTCCATCCAGCACTTGCAAAGTGTCATTTGAAAGTGAGCATATAGAGTGGCAATTGAGATTTTCATCGATTACAGTAGAGCGCGTATTCATTGACCAAATGATGAGGCGGGATTGGTTGGAGAAGATGAAGTAGGCGCCGCATCTGGAAGATCAGAACTTTTGGTCTAGTTTCGATGGAGCGCACTCACCTAACCGCTAGTGTTGCTACGAATGGGATCTCATCAACTAGTCCTTCTGAATTGAAAATTGCAGAATTACTCGTATGATATACTACTGCAATGTAGGGGTGTTCGTAGAGGATTTTGAAAATTGAAGTGGCAGATTGAGTTAAAGGTTTTGATTCCAGAGTCGGGAGGGTTAGAAGGTAGAGACCGCCGGTTTCAGTTGCCACGCACACTTCGTCACCGGATCTGAAAATTTGATGAGTATGGTGAATTCGCTCTAATGCAAAATTTGCAAATTTTTATATTAAGAGGAGAATTGCACCTTATCGGACAATATTCCAATTAAATTACCTCTCGAACTTTGAGCCAGTTTATCTCAGTTCCTGTGAAAGATATCAAAAAGTAGTCAATTGATAAAGCATTGCTGATGTTATGATAAATATTTTATCAGTTGACCACTTTTTGATATCTTTTACAGGTAATGAGATAAACTGGCTCAAAGTTCGAGAGTGCGTCTGTGATACGCGGTTAGCGCCGCTGACCGCACCACCCCCCTGTATTTGCCCACTTTGAGCTACCTTATCTCGGTTCCCCTCCAAGATTTCAAAAAGTTTTCTGATAAATTATTTAAAATAACATCACCTATATTTTATCAGTTGATCACTTTTTGATATCTTATACAAAAAATGAAATAATTGATTGCAAAGTTAGCAGTTAGTTTTATGTTATACATAGAGGGGCTTCTGTTTGTCCTATTTTCAAATTTCCGTGAATTCGGAAATTTTGGCTGAAACATATGAATTTTTATACCATTTTTTTGGATTTTTGAAGCTCTACATTTTTCTTGTTGAATTTAATAAAAATTTCGATGCTGAAGAAAGTTACAACTCGTGACAGTCACCATACTCTTTCAAATTTTTTAAAGATTGTGCAAATTTATCTCGGTCACTGTAAAAGATATCAAAAAGTTGTCAATGGACAAAATTTTTGTGATAATATGATAAACATTTTATTAGTTAAAAAGTTTTTTGTGTCTTTCATAGGAACCGAGATAATTGAGCTTAAAGAAGGCGCGGCAAAGCTACGCGGTGGGAGCGGCTGGCCGCGCCACCCCTATACTTGTAGACTTTGAGCTGATTTATCACAATTTCTGTCAAAGATATAAAAACTTATTCAACTAATAAAATGTTGTTGATAATTTGATAATCATTTTTTCAGTTGACAACTTTTTGATATCTTTTACAGGAACTGAGATATATTTGCTCAAATTTGAAGGTAGATTTTTGCCCACCAGAGCACACTTACACTTGCATACTAACAATGGCAACTGGCTTGTTCGACGTACTGGACCTTCTGATTTTTCTAGACAAATCCGACACCGTCAATTTGATTCCCTCGATTTTTTCAATTTTCGATTCTTCGACTTTCCATAAAATCACATTTCCATCATCAGATCCTGACAGTAATCCATACCGACACAATTCCAGCGACGTCACTGATCCATCAGTAACCTTAATTGTCTCATTCAGCTTAATTGGTCAGGTTAATTACCTTATTCTCAAAAATCATTTTCTCCTTGGTCCACATTGAAATATTTCCAGAAATATCGCCCAATAAAAACTGAGTGGACGAATAGAAAACGGCGGAAATGGCACAGACTGGGAGGGGAAGAGAGGAAGTCTAAAAATAATAGGAAGTGCGCTCCATTGACTTAAGGGGCTTACTGTAGAAGATGAGCAAAGGACTGCTCGAGCCTGATGGGAGCAAAATGTCTCATGGGACAAGCCGCCAAAAAGGATTAAAGTTTTTCGGGAGGAATTTGAAATCATCAGAATTATATTCTCGTTTCGGGTCTGTAAAAATTTTTGAAATTTCAGAATTTCCAGATTTTCAGCCTTCCCCTCACCTCCACATGATACTTTTGTACCGTTTCCAGCGAGACTTTATCAAATTTATGGAATTCCAAAAGTCGATCATAATTCACTTTCGAATCGTCTCGAAGAAAATCATAAATGTGGCCAAGGACCTGAAAAAAATTGAAAAAAAGTCTTTAAAGGGGGACTCCGACCAGAAATTTTTATTGCATTAAAAGGTGTTAAAATTTATCTATTTTTCAAATATTATTGCGAAAAAATTCAAAAAAAAATCAGAAATCCCCGAAAAACGCCGTTGAAAAGGAAGAAAATTCAAAAAAAGGTGCCGCCGGGAGACGAGGATTTTCAGTGAGAAACCTAGGCCACTGCAGCGGGCGCCTTTCCTATGTGGCAAATTTTCCGGATTTTTTTCGATTTCATGTCCGGCAAAAACCACTGTCGGCGACTTGAAAAAAGGCTGTCAGGTGCCGTGGCCTAGGTTTCTCACTGAAAATCCTCGTCCCCCGGCGGCACCTTTTTTTGAATTTTCTTCCTTTTCAACGCCGTTTTTCGGGGATTTCGGATTTTTTTTGAATTTTTTCGCAATAATATTAGGAAAATAGATAAATTTTAACACCTTTTAATGCAATAAAAATTTCTGGTCGGAGTC